GCCTGTCTGGTTCAGTCAGTAGAAAGGCAACTCTTGATCTCGGGGTTGGGAGTTCAAGCCCCACATTAGGATAGAGTTTACTTTAAAAATAAACATTTTAAGAAAATAAAAATAAAAATATTTTTTTAAAAAGAAAACAAAATTAAGAACAGTTTCTTAATTAGGATTAGGAATATATATCTTTGAAAACTTGGAACACTTAATGAAAATAAAAGAAACACTGAAGAAAAGAATAAATGAACAGTGAATTCTATAAGGTTCTAAAGGTCTAGTATATGGTACACATGTCTTGTCTGCTACAGAGATTCTTAACCTGTTTCCAGTAAGCCGAAAATCACATGCTCTGCTGATTAAAATCTAATACAAGATTACAAACAGCATTCTACAGGGCTTGATTAGACACTGCTACTCTTCTAGAAAACCTAAAACTTTTCAGTTATAGTCACTGACATTCCATACTTAAGATGTAATTAATCCCTCAAATTGTTGGCAGTTAACTGTAAATATTTCTTCAACTGACAATTTTTGGTCTAATGTTATGATTAATATATAACAAAGTACTTTCTTTAAACAAGAGGTAAATAGCTAAGACCTAAAACAAAGCAGAATGGGGCACGTTGCTGTTATATGGACATTTAATGCTTTCTGTAGTTATTTTAATGATAGAACTATGTATTTTATTATGAGCAACAGGACTGCCATTTCTCTTTTCAGTCTTAATAATTAAATAAAGAACTCCATAGTCCCAGCTTACGTATTGGGACAGGAAGTGCTCACACACTGCTGTTACCTACAACAGTGTGATGGCCAGCTCTTACCAGAGCCCTCAAGTTGTTAAATCTCCTAAACACAGAAAGCATATTTAATCTGTGAAGTAATCATTTTAGTAGAGCAAACATCACTAAGTTTCTTTAAGGTGACAGGCCAAAAAAAAAAAAAAAAAGGTGGGGGGGCGGGGGAGGTGGAAAGTTTGGGTCTAAGATCAAAAGGATCCTGGAATGCTAATCTTGCTGGGTTGGGCAGTGTTAAGGCATCAATTCCAAAACACAGAGAAAGAGAAGAAAAGTACCAAATGTTATGCCCTTTATTTTTTCATAAATATTATCTGTCTTTTCCCCCTGTACATGTGTGAACACACACACACAACTCCTGTCTTCTCTTTCACCTCTAAATTCTGCAACACAATTAGTGCTTTGGTTACCTCTCCTTTTTATGAGACCCTAAGTACCTCATTAACATTTCTGAAGGATTAGCAGTCATTAAGAAAAAGTGAAATTGGTTAAGATTTTTTAAATCTTCTGGAATTTTTGGCTATTTGCAAAAATAACTGTCAAACTTAGATTACTGTAATCCCACTACCATCATGTAAGTTAAACTTCACACGTAAAGATTCCTGCTACAGTCTATTAAACTTAGAACACACTAGTTTTCTTTTAAAATAACGTTAGAATAAAAGAGTCAAGGTCTTTTAATAATATTAAGGTTTAAATTATTTCGCAAAACTTGTACATTATTTTCTAATTGCAAAAGTCATGTAAAGTTATTCTAGAAGTAAACATTGCGAAATTCAGTATTTAAGTAAAAAATTAAAGTTCCCAATAACCCCATTGTGCCAAGAGATAACCACCACCAATAGTTTGGTTTCCATTTTTCCTACTATTCCTTGTATACGTATAGTTGCTTTCTGTCTCCCCTCCCCCCCCCCGCCTTTTTTTCTTCTTTGAAATATATCTTGGTGTGTCTCTTTTGTTTTTTTTTTTTAAGATTTTATTTATTTATTCATGAGAGAGAGAGAGAAAGAGAGAGGAAGAGACACAGGCAGAGGGAGAAGCAGGCTCCATGCAGGGAGCCCGACGTGGGACTTGATCCTGGTACTCCAGGATCAGGCCTTGGGCTGAAGGCAGGCGCTAAACCACTGCGCCACCCAGGAATCCCCGTGTCTCTTCATAATAAATTATTCCATTTACATATGGAAGAAACAAGCTAATAGGTAAACTTTAGAGAGATCACCAATAAGCAGCAAATTACAAGGGTATTTTGTGGCCTAATAATTAATCTTTACCCGGTTGACCTGGCTGTTCCCAACTATATGATCCACGGAAAGTTTCTGTAAAATATATTTAAAGAAAGTAAAGGTAATAATCCAAATTTTAAACAAGATACCATCAATTTAAATCAAAATGATTGAGATTCTAGCATCAGAGCGGTTCCTATAGTTTTTCGATGACTTTTAGCATTTAAAGGCTATATCAGAGTATTGGAAACTGACCTCCCTCCCCTGGGCTGCTGGCCTTAGCAAGTGAGTGCCCCTCAGCATTCCTTAACTCAATAGACTCTTGAAACAAAGCACAATAGCCACATTTTAATGAGTGAGATAACCCTTGCCATCCAAAAGGTAAAAAACAACATCTGTTAAAAAACCAAATAAACTGCAGTAATGGGTTCAGCAATAGGCCTGAAATAGGATTTCAGAGACATAGTCTTTGCTTATCACAATAAAAACCACAACAGAACAATTGTTTCAAATCCAACGCTCTGTGTTCTAAACTCTCCCTAGATTAATTAGTGTGAAGTCTCGCCAAGCTCATTAAAAGAGAAACTCTGGACTCCTAGAGCAGGGTTGGTGTTTACTGTCCTCCCAAACTAGAGGACTCTCCAGCAAGGACAATGAGAACTTGGCGGAACCACAGACTTCTGGGCTTTCTTTACTGATAGCATTTCTAGTTTATTTTTAAACTGCACTTAAAAAAAATTATACTCCAAGGATCTTTTCAGATTTGTGTTTTGTTTTTTTTTTTTTTTAACTGAAAAACTGGTCCTTTATTTATTCTCCTTGTGTACCTCCAATCTCTAGTTACATTTTATAGCTATTGAATGATAAGCCGTATGCGTCTGGAGTCTGTGACTATTCAGATGGTCATTAGATAACTCTTGATTGTCAAGCCCTCCAGAGCATGTGAGCGCTCCGGCACTTTAAGTTATATTCCAAGGAGGTAGAAAGACTATATATATATATATATATATTTTTTATTTATTTATTTATTTTTCCTGGCACAGGCTTTCTCCACCCATCCAATCCCCTGAAATCTCTTGGGCTTGCCAAAGGCCTGACCTTCCATTCTCTGCAGCACAGGGTGAAATTTGCCAGGAGAAGGCCCAGCAGATTAAGGCCTCGTTCAACAAATATTTGCTCACCCACTCTTGGGGGAGTCAAACTGTTTGCTACATGCTATCTGCCCAGAGTAACAGTTAGGGACCTTCGGGACTGCTGTGCGGCTGGTGGCCAAGACTGAGACACCTAACATCAAGGTAAATATAAAGTTCAAACCCATACAGCATTATGAGAAACCAAATGAATTTACCAAATTCCCAATTTCACATGCAAACTATCACAAGTCCCCTGAAATAAGAATCTGCATGTGATTTCTAAAACAACTATACACGCTTGCCTTGTTGTATGGTCTTAATCCAGTCATCTTAAATTCTAGACCTGCCTGATACAAAGCACGTTTTCTTGAACTTTAGCCTGTGACCACTTAGGTCTGAATACTGAGTCTGCCATTTTTATCTAAGTATTTCTGGCTGCCTAAATCCCATGTCCCTAGACTCCCAGGAATCCTCCCTGTCCGCCCCCCACCCCACCCCACCCTATCCCATCTTCCAAATCCTCATTTCAAATCAAATTTCCTTGCAAACCTGAAAAGACAAAAAGCCAGAGAAGAGAAGACATCTAGATGTAGGGAAAACCTCGCAATTGTGTGGTTCACTCTACTTCATCCCTCTCCCAAGACAAGCCACTGGATCGGGGGAGGCACAAGCGGACGGGCCAGCATGGGAGTAGAGGGAGGAGATGCAGGGGATGGGAGTGAGGGTGGCAGGGTGTGTTGGGAGGGGGAGGGGAGTCTGCCGAAGCTAATTCCCCAAAGTCCTCTGCTCCTAGAGAGCGTTGATGAGCAAGGAATAGGGTCTGACCAGGCTGCGCTGGCGTGGAGTTTCCGTTTTGTATTTTTTTCTTCCAGTAGTGAAATCACAGCTTCTTTTTCAACCCCCCCCCCCCAAGAATCCGAGGCGCGGGGCGCTACCTCCAGCGACAAGGGGCAGGAACGGAGCTCGGCTGTGGGTGCTGAGCCCCCGTGGTCACGGCGTGTAGGCAAACCCTGGCAGTCGGAACGAGGGTGCCCGGGGATCGGAGAGCGGAGACCCGAGCAGCAGGCAGGCTCCGGAGCCCATAAACGAGCTCATTAACGAGATTCACAGCACTCTCAGGCGGGGCTCTTCCCTTTCTCCCACCCTTCCCTCTCTCTCTCTCTTTTCCGCCTAACCCCCAGCAGCCGAGAGGCCGGGCCGCCCCGGGCAGTGGCCGGGAAGCCGCGGCGATTAGCGCCCTAATCCCCGGTCCTGACCCCGCCGAGCGCGGCGCGCAGGGCCCGGCGGAGACCCGAGCAGGCGGCGCGGGCGCGGGCGCGGGCTCCCAACGTCCGGCGGGCAGGTCCGAGCTGCGGCGGGGCGGGGGGCACCGTGGGACCCGGGCCTCGGGGGCTCTGGGCAGCGGCTGGCAGCGCCTGTGCTGACGTCCGCGAAGTCGGGGCGCACCGGCGGGAGAGGCGGGAGAGGCGGGAGCCGGCTGGCGAGGAGGGCGCCCAGCGGGGAGACGGCGACCCCCGGCGGCCCGCCCCACCCCCCACCCCCCACCCCCCACCCCCGGGCAAGGGGCCACGCGAGCGCCAGCGCCCGCCGCGGTGGAGACCCGCACCCGGGCGGCACCTGAGCGGCGGGGACGCCCCCTCCCCGCAGACCGGGCTCCGCACCCCGAGGCCGGGATGGGCACCGTGCGGGACGCCCACGGCTGGGGCGCCGACGCCCCCTCGTCCGGGAGCAACGTCCCGGCTGGAGAAGTTGGGGGCGACCGCGGGACCCCGGGGGCGAGGCCCGCGGAGCGCCGTGGAAGCAGGCCAAGGGGACGGCGGGGGTCAGGAGGCGCGAGACACGCCGGGACTTACAGAGCAGCGGCTCCCTCATGCTGCCCCGCGCCGCCGCCGCCGATCCGGCCGGCCGGGGACCAGTGTGACCCGCCCCGCTGGCTGCCGCCACGGCCGAGCATGCCCGGAGCCGCCGCCGCCCGCCCCGCCCCGGTCCCCGCCCCCGCTCGCCCTCGCCCCGCCCATCTGCTCGCCCTCCGCCACCTCGCCCCGCCCCCCGCCGCCTCGCCACGCCCCTATCCCCGCCCTGCCCGCCTTCGCCCCGCCCATCTGCCCACCCTCCGCCGCCTCGCCCCGCCCATCTGCTCTCCCTCCGCTACCTCGCCACGCCCCCCGCCGCCTCGCCACGCCCCTATCCCCGCCCCCTCTCGCCCTCGCCCCGCCCATCTGCTCGCCCTCAGCTGCCTCGCCCCGCCCCCCGCTCGCCCTCGCCCCGCCCATCTGCCCACCCTCCGCCCGCCCCTCCCGGCGCCCCGCTCGCCCTCGCCCCGCCCATCTGCCCGCCCTCCGCCGCCTCGCCCCGCCCGGATCCTCGCTCTCCGCTCCGCCCCGCCCGCCAGGCGGCCTCCGGGCTCGCGCTCTCTCCGCCGAGGGCGGTACCCGGGTGGGGAGCCTTAGCTCATGGGCTTCCTGCGGGCCCGGCCTGGGTGGGTCGCCTCAAAGCACAGGTGAGCGGGACACCCCCTTGTCTCTTTTCCTGTCACTTGGGTGTGGGCGGCTTCGCCCCTGTGCTGATGCACACGCACACACAGAACACACACCCAAAATATTCATACACAGATGCACACGCACTCACGAATGGCTACACACAGACGCACACAAACACACCCATATGCAGTCACACACAGATGCACACACTCTCATAGACAGTCACACACAAACTCACAGTCATATTCACATATACACAAAGACACACATAAAACACAGACACAAACCCATACACACACTCTTTCACAAAAACCCAATCATGGAAGGCGTGAAGAGCATAAAACGGTGCCGGTGACAACAGCTTAGTGCTTGGGATTTCCTTGTTTAAAAAAAGACCTCTAAGAGTCTTAGCTATAGGCTGGAGGAGACTTTAGAGGTCAGTCGGTCTAGCCTCTCTTGAGATAGATGGGGAAACTAAGGCTGGAACTAGGATTTGCCTAAAGGCAAAAAAGAGTAGGAGGAGGTCAGTGGGAGAGTTCAGACTAGAATGAACAGTGACTCCAGGCCACTCCATGTTTCCCTGGCCTCAGTGATTGAGACCGCTGCCCCATCATCTGCTCAGGGGCAAAAGTCCTCCGACTCCAGAGGGTGGGGAAAAGACATAAAGTGTTCAACTTTGCTGATGAGTTGGGAAGAGAAAGAGAGTGTTGGCAAAATCGAGGCCACAGTGGCAAACATGGATGGCAGAGCAGACTGGAATCCCCGCAGAATGAATATTTAGAAAACCTCTTAGCAGCACCATGCATTTAGGGTTGTGCTCACTCCACAACACCAGTAATACATGCAGTTGTTTGCACTCTCACCATGGGCGACCCCAGGCTGAGCCCTTCATATGCATTATTGTCTTGTAATCCTCAGCACAGTCCTATGAGGGGGGTGCACTGGACACTGGGGCTCAGGAAGGCACACAGATAGAAGTTGCAGAATGTGGCCAAAGACCCTTGCTCTGAACCCTAACCGTGAGGAGCATCAAGGCTAAGAGAGCAAAAAGCCCAAAACACTAGTGCTGAAGAAGAAAAACAATATGTGTGATCCAATGCTGTGTTGTGGATTATCTATAGTGCGGCCAAGGACCACACTGGGGAGACAGGGCAAGCAGGACAGCATGACCTGGTGCTCGAGGAAGGCATTGATACAATTTGGGGTGCTTCTACCACTTTCTTGATGTGTTCCTTCTGTCCATCTCAATTTCCTCTCCGACAAATGGGGATAATGACAGTGCTCACCTCCTAGGAAAGCCATAGTACTGGCACATAGCAAAAGTACAGAAGCTGGTAATTCCTACCACTGGTACCTGTACTAATGGTGTTCTGTGGGCTGGAGCCACCAGGAAAGGCTTTGTGGGGGGCACCTTGGACGACAGGTGAGTTGTATTCTAGGCAGAGGCAGAGGGTATCACTTCCCGACTGAAGGAGTAAGATGAGAAAAACAGAAAATAAATCACAGAGGCTTTTGAAAAAAGTCATAGTCCTGTGCAGTGGTGCCATTACTTCTTGCCATAAACGCATCTTTCAGGGACAGAGTGCTTCAATGGCATCCCATTCCCATTTGCCCGCAATTTGTCAACTCACTGAAGTAACTTTTTCTTCTTGTGGAACACCTATAGGTGCCCAGCACCATGCAGATACATATGAAGCCAAATGTTCCTGCAAGATCATTTATCAGCCAGCAAACCGATTAGAACAATGTTATATTGTTGGGTTTCTGGGTCAACCCCACAGAAGTTTTATAATGTAACTGAAATGCTGTATGTTGCAGTAGGAAAAAACAACAACAACAACAACAACAACCCCAAAACATTGAAGCAATTGAAGCAATGCTAGGAACTAAGCCAAACCCACCTATATAAAGTTTAATGAATTATGTTTCAGCAGAAAGGTTGGTAAAGGCAGATTTAATTAGAAGAAGCTAATAAGATTGAGCTGCTGTAGATTGTGAAGATGACTTTGCAATTTCAGAGATTTTTGTGGTTTCTGAGCCCTGGCTCTTTATCATGGCAAGCCTCATTTCAAAATGTTTGCCTTCCCTCTTTCTCCTACACTGATACATTACAAACCCTGCTCTATTGCTTTCCAGCCATGACTAAGGCCATTTGAAGTGAACAAGCAGAGTGAAAAAAAGGATAGAAAATGGTGGAGGAGCTGGGGAGCAAGGAGAAAGTTGGGAGAGATTTTTCCCGAAGATTTGAAAATAGAATAACGAAGAAGAAGGAGGTAAGGTTAAAAAGATCCACGAGTCAGAGTGGGTGGTTATCTGAATTACAATGTCAGACAGAGACAATGGGGAGGGAGGTGCTTCCCCAAATGAGGATAAAAGTTGGTAAGGTCAGTCAGTCCCTTGGGCCAGTTTGCCACAGCCTCGAGATGGTGGACATGGCATGAGAGAAACCAGCTCTACATCTGCGTGCAGTCTTATGTTTTTTATATAAGCACATACGAATATGTTGGTTGTTATGCTTTCAGAAAAAAAAGAATCTTTTTTTTAAAAGTCAGGCCTGGGTAACGCAAAAACCACCTGTGTAAGTTTTATTCTGACTGTAGGAAGAATCACGCTCCTTCTCCTCATCACCACCCACCCTTCTTAATGCAACCGTAGTCTCTTTCTCTTACCTACTTGATTTCAACACAGGGAAAAATATCTTCTCTGCTACTTATGTGATAAGAGATATCAAATGTGATTTAAACCAACTCTGAGCATGATGCTGTTAGAAACCCAGCGCTGGCCGGGCGGGGAATGTGTGCCAGGATCCAGCCCCAGGTGCCCAAACATCCCGCCTTTCTTTGAGTCCTGGAGAAGGGATTTCACAGACTCAGGAAGGAACTCAGATTATTGAGTCATCAGGACAGATATATGATGACCAGAGAAAGGGCGTCTTCAGAAAAAAGAAAAAAAAAAAAAAGGACAAAACCCTTGTTTCTTTAATTCTCTGCCTTTTCAAGGACCTAAGATAACCCTCCTCCCTCCTTGCTTTGGGGCTCTTTTGTGATGACCTACTATAAGGTTTCCTTTAGCTGACTTAGATATTCTTTGATGTTTTTCCTAGTCTGAAAAACACTACCAGTTCTCATTTTTTAAAAGATGAAGGTCCTTGATAAAACCTTGAAGTCCTTCTTGTTGTTTTGTTCTAAAAGTCAGACAATAATAATTATACAAACACTGGAAAGGCTTTTATGTCCACAGGTGCCAATAAACCTTTTTTTTTTTTTTTAGATACTGACATGCTGTACATTAATTCCGAGGCTATTCTGCATCACTATTTTTAACCATGAACTAGAAATCTGTTTCTCAAAGTGCATTCCATGGACTCCTCATTTTCGATTAACTGGGGATTTGACCAAAAGCCAGGTACCTGGCCCCGAGACACATCAGACACAATCGGAATTTCTAATCTCTACAACTGAGACCCAGGAATCTGTCCTTTAAGTAAATGTCCAGTAAATGTCCAGATGCTTCTTACACATTGGGAAAGTTTGAGAAGCAGGGATAGAGCGCAAGAAATAGAAATAGTGTGTCAAAAGCCTAACAGAATGACTGACACATGCTAAACATTCAAAAAACAGTAGTCATCACCATCACTCTATGATGATGAGGAGCAGCAGAGCAATGTCCTTTGGGAATAAAATGCAATAGGTGTTTGTTAACTGTTGATTTAGAAGAATTGGTACCAGCCCAGACCGAAAATTGTAATCCTGGGGATTAAGAGAAGAATAACAAATATTTTTTTAGAACCTGATACCTTCACTCTAAGAAGAGTGAATCCACATGGTTGTTACATGAGAAAAATAATTTTTATTTATTTATACTTTAGAAAAATAATTTTTAATTATTTGCTATCTCTTTGTCAGCTTTTTCCTCTCTCTGTAAGGCTACACGTTAATGGGAAACAGCCTCTCTGCCTCTCTCCCAAGCCCTGTCACCACCCTTGCGAAGGGTTACTATTTACCAGTGGTTTACAGAACATCCCAAGCATCTCCCTGCCTGTAGTCTGCAATTCTTTGCCAGATTCATTAGGAAAACCCTGCGTTCCTGTCCTCTGGGGAATGACAGTGGCTGGCTGGGGTCCCACCGGTACAAGGGAGATGCACACATGGCTCCAAGAAAACAGTGGTGTGGCCAGCACCAGAGTGGTCCAGACATGGGCAATTCCTCTCTTCCCATCACACACCAGCCAATCAAGAATCAATGAAAAATAACTCCAGCATTTTCTCTAAGCCCACGTGACTTCTTATTTGAAACATGGGAATTGGGATCCCTGGGTGGCGCAGAGGTTTGGCGCCTGCCTTTGACCCAGGGTGCGATCCTGGAGACCCGGGATCGAATCCCATGTCGGGCTCCTGGTACATGGAGCCTGCTTCTCCCTCTGCCTGTGTCTCTGCCTCTCT